CCCCAAAACCCCAAAACCCCAAAACCCCAAAACCCCAAATGTATAACTTTTTATTGAAATTTTGAGAACTCAATATAATGTACTCGACAAAACATAAGAATTACTCATTGATCGCTCATCAGCATGAAGAGGGAAAATTTGAAACGGGAAGACTCAAGATCGGAGCTAAGAAGTCTTACTCTCCTGATGGCAAATCTCCCTTCGTGAACCTTGCAAAAGGGAATTATAAAATTAATCCAAAATTGATGAAAAGGTAAATTTATTAGAAATTCCGTAGTTAAACTTCTATAGAACCAAATAAATCCAAGAAACTGTAAGCCTCATTGGAAATATCTCTAGGAAGAAAAGCACAGATCAGACTTGTGAGAAGAAGCTGAAGACAGCCCAGAGTAGCCAGAAGAGCGAGTTAAGCACTAGAAGTACTGCATTCCAAGTTCAAGTGTCTAAGTTTGGCGTTAGTGGTATGGTATAATTCCAGATTATTTAATCCCAGAAACCTTAAGTTTTGACACTCTTATAGACCGCTCCTTGACTCATCGGAACAAAGACAGCAGCAAAGGTAGGAAGTCATAGTAATTATAGATCTTACTAACAAGGACTCATGGAACTATCTGAATAATTTTAAGAAGAACACAATCGGCTCCTTATCCAACCCTAAAATGGACAAATCGAAGAAATTAAGTAAGTTTTTGTTGACATTGCAGAATCAAAGCAAGTAAAATATAATGCTTATCTGTCATCTCAGAATAAGCTATTGAAGAAGTCAAAGCCAAATCAGTTACAAGGGGCTTTAAAGAACTACTCTCGCAACAAGAAGGTAAGGGCTGCACGATCTAGAGTATAAACTCTCTAGTTGAATCACAAAAATTCCAAATCAAATCCTTCGAAGAAAGATAAAGGGAAAAAATCTGTTGATATGAGGAAAGCAAGATCGAAAGAATCAACCTTTATTCAAAGCTCATTGTTTAGAAACATGTCGCCAGTTATCAACCGAAAAATCTTACTTGATTTACAGAACATGGCGAGTGAGCTTACGACTGAGAAGTCTATGAAGAGTCAGAACTTTACTAAGAATATTTCTGAGAGTATTGGGAATGGATATATGTCTCTAAATTCGAATTGTAGGTCGAATGACATGCTGACAAAAGATGAACCTGAGATAACTCCCTCACCTAATCACCAGCATCAATCATTTCCTGTTTCTACAAGCCTCTCAGACATGACTCCACTCCTGAAAGATTTTGAAGAGATGAAGTTGAGAGAGGAAGATCTTATTCACCAGCTCCAAACTGAGAAGAGCCAGAGGCACGAGCTAGAGCAACAAGTTACAGAACAAAACTCCAAACTCCAAGACAACCAAGGGCTCATACAAAAGTTGGCTAATGAAATAGCTACTCTGAAGGCTTCAAACAAGGACCTAACCACTCAGCTAGAAAGATACCAAAGCAGGCAAGACCTTGATATAACCCATTTGGAGACTAAAAACAGACTTCTCACCGAAGCTCTTAATAAGAGAAATAAGGATGTGAAGGAGCTGGAGAGCGGTAACGAGGACCTTATCTCTCTTCTTGAGAAATGAGACGATAAGATCCAAAAACTCCAGGAGAAATGTAGTGATTATGAATAAGGTTAGTTAAAGACCTCCTTCATAGCTGAATTTATATAGAAGTATACCCAATGAGGCGCAATTCTAAGGGGTTTTGGGGTTTTGGGGTTTTGGGGTTTTGGGG